TTCCTATACTCATTGTAGCAAAAACTCCAAATAATTAAATTAAATATTGACTTTCYAATATAACAATTTTTTATTGAGATTTTAAGTTTTTCTTTGAAATCTACAAACAACCGCAAAAAACTTTTTTTCAGAGAAAAACATTTTGTGAAAAAATTATTTCAGGACTCACTCTTCCTGGGTCAGATTGCCCTCCCCCGTGGTCAATTGGTCGATAACTTGGTGGTAGTAATAAGTAAAATTGTAGACCCTTTGTCTGGCCTTGGTCTCCGAACATATGGTGATGGCGGGAAAGGGCACTTGCCACACAGGGGTCGGGCTTTGGGCAAAACTCACCAAAACGGGCGATTGGTCCCACTTGATCCACGTTTGAATTATCAAACTCACGCAAATGTAGAGCGAAATTGCGAACAAAACCAACCAATACAGCCTAAAATTTCGGTAAAAAATTGCAAAAAAAATTTTTTTTGGAAAATTACTTTTCGATGAAACATCGTTCCTGCTCTCCCATGTATTTGAACCCATGGATTCCCGTATTGCTCGAAAACTCGGTGAAATAATCGTAGATATTTTTGCGAAAACCGGGGAACTTTTTCTTTTTGGGCGACTTGACGAATCGGACGTTGTCTAGAGGCCCCTTATTGGGGCTCGGTTTCGGACTCGCGCTCATTGTGAAATAAGGGGAAAGGAGGAATTGTCCCTTTTATATTTGCATGTGATCCCACGCCTTCAACCCCCTTGTAAACATTTAAAACGGGGAAAATTATAAGCTGTTTACGCTCGTTACGAGATCAATGGATTCACACCCCGTGGCTGGGGACTACTTCATTTTTTTTCATAAGGGGTTTTAATTATGACAGGGTGGATTATTAAAAAGCATTTTGGGCGATTTGTGTCTTGATAAAAGAGAAATTTTATTTTATTATTGGTTTGTGGGTGTTTCACCAGATAAGATGATGAGTTAGAATGACCGTGACATTCCCGAAAGAAGTTTAATAAATTATTTATTTTTTGTTAATTTTTCATCATTAATAAAACTGGAATTTTATTTATTTTCACACAGTCACTTTGAGCCGAAAACATGCAACGTCCCACAGGTCATTTGTCACAATTTCACAGAATATCTATTTTAATAAATATTCATTAATGCAACGACATTTAAAAATTTTAGATTTTTTCGCAAGAATTAAAATACAAGATAATATAATTGCTGATCTTTCAAAATTTTGTTTTTTTCTTAAAATCACTCAACAGCGAAACAATAAAAATCTTGAGATAGATTTAAAGATATTATAAGATAAGTAGCGAAAGGAAAGATAATGTAAAAATGAGAAAAATAATTTTTGCAAAAATTTTGTATAAATGAAACTGAAGATTAACTTAGGAAAGCGTAAAAAACACAAAGTTTAGAGCACAAACAATAGGTAAAAAATTAATTTAAAAGTAGGATTTAGGGTTAAAGGACCGCAAACATAAATATTGTAAGTGTTTATTTAAGACTCTTCCAGGAAAACACTGGAAAAGAAAGAAAAAATAAACCAAAGAAGTTAATTTTTTAAAAAAAGCTCAAAATCGTAAAAAATTTCTCTATTATTCTCTAAAAATTTTTGAAAGACGTGAATTTTATTTAAATATTAATTCAAGATTTTGTAATTTAACAAAATTTTTGTTTCAAATAAAAGCCTTGTGATAAAATAATAAGACATTAAGACAATTTTTGTCTTTACATAATGTGAAATCTTAAAAAAAAACACTCTTTTGAAATATGAAGATTTTGCCCAAAGCTTGCAAAAAAATTAAATTTTGAGATAATTAAAATTCCGAATCTACTGACAAAATCAAGTTTTTGAAAATTAGTTTTAAATTAAGTTAGTAGAATATTTGAACATTTTAACAAAAAATAATTATATTAAGAATTTATAAAACACGAAATTTCTGATTTTGAATCAAAAACTTGTAAAAATTCTTATGATAAATTAAGATTTTGGAAAAATTTTTGTCTTAAAGTAACGTAATATTTTAAAAATCACTCTTTTGGAATGATAGCAATTGATTTCTTTCTTGTGTTAAAATTGAAGATTTTCGCCAAAACATTGAATTGATTAATGAGAAGAAAAGTTGGATTGTTTTTCTCAAAATCGTTGATTGATAAATATTTTAATCTAATAATTTTTTTAAAATCACTCTTTTAGAATGATAGTGTTAAAATTGAAGATTTTCGCCAAATGTATCGTAGAGTATTTTAACTTGTTGCATTGTGTTCAGCGTGTAAATTCAAAATTTTTGAAACTTGACCCAATGGCGTTTTATGCACTTATTTGAGTCTTTAAGACCTCTAGTAATGAAAAAAAAAAAACGTTAAATGGATCAATTTTCAAGTAAATTTTTTTTTTGATTTTTGTCAAGATTTTGTTCGATTTTTAGTACCCGGCGCGGTCTAATGGCAATAACTCCGGACTTATTGAGGATAACCTCTTATATTTGGTACCGTTGGATAGAAAATTTAATTTTCTATCATATATAAAAAAGATCAGTGCTCTACGATGAATAGTTATCGAGAAAATTTCTGATAAAGTCAAAAATATCAAAAAAATTTTTGACTTACCTTTTGTTTACTTATATATCTATATATTTCACTAATACACCTATGTAAATCATTTGTGTTATTAGTAATAATAACAATAATTAATTAAAAAAAATTCTTAATTTTTAATGCAAAACTTACCTTTCATTTATATTACTTTTAACTTACCTTTTGTTTACTTTATATACACTTTTTACACTATTTTCACTTTTGTAGATACTTGTTTTAAAGTTCGCGCTCTTATACGCCCGCCTTCTACTGGTGCTTATTTTAGTTTTTCTTTCTCTCTTATACTTATTAGAACATGTGCACATGTTTTAAAGATCGCGCTCTTATGCGCCTGCCCTCTTTTGACATTTATTTGAATTATATTTGAATTTGAGAAAAATTGCCGACTTGACCGAGGCTCGAACTCGGGACCTACCTGCTGGAAAGCGGGACCTTATGCCGCTGAGCCACCACCGCCGCCAACAACAATGTTTTCATTCAATATATTTTACACAAAATTTTTCAAAAATTTATTTTTCGCATTTTTACAATGTTTTTATGCTTTATTAAGTCTTTTGAACATCCAAGAGTGCAAATAGACAATTTCGAAGTTTTTAATTTTTTCGATTTTTGTCGAAATTTTGGGCGATTTTCGGTACGCGGTGCGGTCTAATGCCAATAACTCCGGACTTATTAGAGATAACTTCTTATATTTGGTACCGTTGGAAAGAAAATTTAATTTTCTATAACATACGAAAAAGATCAGTGCTCTACGATAAATAGTTATCGAGAAAATTTGTGATAAAGTCAAAAATATAAAAAATTTAAATACGTCTATAGTTTAAAAACTATTACGAATTTTGCAGTTTTCTTAACGCCAATCGATTCCACGGAACATTTTACATAGATTTAGGTCAAAATATTACATCATTGAGGCACAGTTTTGCCGCAATTTACAAAATAAAAAAAAAAAAAATTTGTTACCCCCCCTAAAAACTAGTGTTTTTGATCATGTCTCAGATTCAATTTAAACCTATCTTATCCGATAGTTTTTGACGCGCTAATTACGAATTTACCAATCATTTTGCGCTATCTCCTTTAGTTTCGCCGTAGTCGGCGTTTAAAAAGTCAAAATTGTGAAACTTTAGGGGGCGTTTTTCTACGAAACTATAAGACTAAGCTAAACTAAAAATCATTAAAATTAGCTTCAAATTATCTATTTAATGGCGCAAACTGGAAGTCGCTCCGGGTTGTGGTTCAGACTACAGGGCCATTTTTAGTTTTTTTCAAAAAAAAATTATATCTCAAAAACTGTGAGTCCTAGGTCAAAACGGTTTGTACAGGTGTGTTTTTCATAAGAATAAAAAAATTTTGATTTTTTGGTCAAAATCGGATATTTCTAGCCTTATTCTTAACTCTTTTACTCAATATCTCAAAAACTATGCATCGTAGAGTATTTTAACTTGTTGCATCGGGTTCAAAAAATATTTTAATCATAATTTAATCGAAAATAAAAAGAATAAAACCGTTTTTAACAAATTTGAAATAAAAAAACTATATTTGACAATGATTAACCAGAAATACGAATGAATCAATTTTAATTTAATTATTTCGTTGCGTGTTTGCATTCTTATTTTCCTCAGTTCTCCAACCCCTCGAGGGACATTTATAGGTATTTTCCCTTAAATAATAAACAACATTGTATTTTCCACAATTTTATTTTTACCATAAAACACAAAAAATACAATTATTTAATAAAATTCCTTGAATTATTCACGTTTTCCGGCCCAAAACCTGGCTCCAAACAATCTAACATTGCACACAATCCTCAAAGTCAAATAATAGAAAATTTCAATTAACGACAACATCGTAAATCCGGTAAATAAGCCCAAAAGACCGCCAAAATTCGCCAAAAAATCAGTAGGCCCGTACAGTTCGTTTCTCTCAGATGTAATAAACTGGTTGCCTTTGAAAAAAACCTGAAGATACGACATGTGGGTCCTGAAATGGCCCCAATTGATAAAAATCAGAAAAATTGGAATATTCACGTTGTTTTATCGATTTTTGTTGAATTGAATTGATACTTCCGGACCCAATCCCAATCCGATTGCGAGTTTTCAACAATGTAAGTCATGGAAGTGCACTCAGGCATGCAATTGCACTTTTGCACGATTTGGTGAAACTCGTCGTTTTCAAGAGGGAGGCCTTTGTGGTGGCGGATACTCTCGTTGATTCCCTCCGACAGGAGCACATCTGGAAGCGATTTTTGGCATTTTTTGCAAAAAAATCAATAAATTACCCTCGGCTTCGACCATGCAGGCCTTCAAAGGGGCACCACAGACCTTAGTGTCGTTTTCCCCTAAAAATATTTTCGATTTAATTAATGAAATAAAATAAAGTGGAAAGTACTCGGCATGTAAAAATCGACGCAACCGCACATTTTGAGTGTGTAGTTGGTTTTGCACTCAATTTGACAGTTTTGTTGAGTGTAAATTTTGAAATATTTCAAGCTTCTTTCCGAGGGGAAAAAGCACTGGCGACGGTCAGGTTGGTAAGCCTTGATGGCTTCCGAAGTTGTTATCATGGTTGGCATTATTGCAGCGATGAGGGCCTGGTCGAGGGGGATGCGAAAGTGTTGTTGTTTGACTCGGGGGAGCATCGCCGGGTGGTGGATTTGAATCTATTTATTTTTTCTAATAAAAATTTTTTAAAATATTTTTTTTAACCTTGTATCCTTGAATTGAGGTCCCACAAGTGAAATCCAAGTCGTTATCAAACGTTTTTAGTTTTAGTTCAAAGTCGAATAAAGCCCCAGCATGGAGGGCCCTCTTGGGATAAGTATTCTTATCAGCTGATTTATCATAACCCTTTTCGAGGGACCACTCTGTCTTATTTCGCTCGATCAAATGATAATTTTTGTAGTGCACCCTGAAATCGAAATTTTTGACCACAAATTCAAAACACGTACTTACCATTTCATATTTTCAAACAAAAATTAATTAATCGCAATACAAATGTCAAAAAAATTCTTTTCAAATCTTCTGAATAAAAAGTATGGAACCAAACGTTTTTTGTTTAAACTATTTTTTTTTTT